AAATGTTATCGGTGCGGCTTGGAGCGCCCGAATCCGAAAGACATAGTCCGAGAGCATGGAGACCGCCGCAGTACCCGTGGAAAGAAGCGGGGAGGCAAGAAGAACCGTGGGGCCGGCCAGGGAGGAAGCCAGGCAGAAAGCGAGACCTGGACTCAGACTCAAAACTGGTGGCAGTCACAGGACTGGTCGGAGTCCCATGGTTCCCGAAGTTCTGACTGGCAAGGGAGCTCTTGGAGTTCTCGATCCAATTGGACATGGGGCAAGTACGATCCGAAGGGGAGTGATCAAAATCACCCTTTTGCGCATCCAGAAGTGATGGTGATGCGGGCTGCGGCCGCCACCATAGCTCTTGCCGGGTTGAGAGGAGTCTTACGACTCACAGAGCAAGCCGTGGAATCTGTACTGGCTCTGATCCAGGTCATAGAAGTCAATACGGCTGAGGTAGTAGAACAAGCACAAATGACTCTCACGGACCTGGTGCAAAGGAGCGTGGTGATCGGGTTCATCCTTCTTTGGGGGTGGATCGGATTCAGGTGGTGGATGTGGAAGCAGTCCAAAGACCGGAGGATCCTGGATGATCTGGAGTTCAAGACTCCGCACACTTCTCCTGAAAAAGGGGATGTGAGCAGCAAAGCCAGCAGGGAGCATCGCTCGCCCCTAAAACGGCCGAGTACTGCCATCCTCCGGGCGAAAGCCCTCGGCAGTGTGGCCAACCAAGGGGGACAGCGGGCGATAATGCCGCTTCCTGGGAAAGGTCCTGGAACCCGAGTGCGGACCAGCAGGTCGCCTCAAGTTGAAAAGGTCCAGAAGGGGAAGGCATCTAACAAGGTGCCCCGCAAAGCCGCGAAGTCCCCCACTCCTTTTCTGAATGGTGGAGTGAAGAGCTTAGAAATGTTCGCTACAGCACGTGAATATCAGGAAGCGGCCATTTTGGCGCTCCGCAGCTGTTCTGAAACAAGACCCGTGGCAATCGATCTGATCGCTTATGCGATCGACAGAGCTGACTTGCTGGGTGCTCTTCTTGCAGTGGCAGAAGTGCATCAAGTGCCTGTCAAGGTCATAGCTGATCAAGCGCAGACCAACAGAATGGCAGAGCAGAAAAGAGTCCTCGAACAAGCAGCTGAGGGAGGTCTTGATGTTCAGCTGCGAACAGGAAACGAGCTCAGAAGCCACTACCTTGAGGCTGGGAGACAAAGAAATGGGTTCAGAGGGATCCAGCATGCCAAAGTTTTGGCCATAGAATGGCAAGACAGCTGGGAAATCTTCGCCGGGAGCAGTAACTGGACAACTGCTTCTAGAGGCAACCACGAGCTAGGTTGGCGGGTGGAGCTCCACAAAGCTGGCGGGTTATCGAACCAACTCAGAAACTGGCTGGATTCAGTATGTGAGGGGTCGGTTCCGATGACTCAGGTTCGTGCAGAGAAGAACCAGAAAGCTGGAGGAAAATCCACAGACAAAACAGCTAGACTCTCGCGGTCAGAGACGCAGAGCTAAAAGCTCTTGCGGTCGAAGACGCGGAGTCAAGGTCCTGCGGTTACCATTTGGTACGCGGACCTAATAATTCGTACAGAAGGTGTGGCGACACTAGGCAGGGGGGCGAATGTGAACCCAACCCCTGATGTAAAGTGCCTAGTTGTCTGACCCCTTCTGTTTGTAGGGCTACTGGGGAGCCGCGTTGAGTTTACTCCGCTTGCTCCTGTCATTTTTGGCTCAAGATGGTGAGCTGTGACTCCGGTTTCACTGCAGCTTTGCAAAGCAAGGTTGTGGCGCGACTGAGCAGTAGCCGACCGTGCGACAAAGGGTGACAAAAGGTGATCTCTGGGCCGGTGAGGTGAGACTGGCGGGACCCCAGACCCCTTTGGTTCGCATACCGTATTAAATTTCTTATATTTACATATATACGTATACATATACATTTACATATACATATACATGTACATATACAATATATACATATACATATACATATTCATGTACATACACAGATACATATACATATACATCTACATCTACATATCATATACATACACAGATACATATACATATACATACATATATATATATATATATACACGTGTACATACATATACATGTACATTCATGTTTACATGTGTGTATGTCTCTATATATGCAAAGAAATCGGTAGATAATGATATGCGTATGTATCGGTTTTATTTGTGATAGGGTTGTATCAGACTTCCATCATTCCATGGCGGCTTCGGTTTGTCGCCTGATACCGTGCTGCTGGGAGCGGGCTGGTGGCATTTCATTTGCTTCCAGGCATTTTGCCCAAGTGTGGCTAGTGGTGTAGGCAGCGCGTTTCCCTTCTGAAAGCAAGTTATGGGCAATTGTGGGGATTGTAAGGTTGAGCAGCAAGGACAATGTGCTACTGCAAAGGTCGCTTACATTGCCCCATTTGTTTCCGAGAGGAAACGTAAGGAAACCCTTGAAAATCATGGAGTTTTAGCTTGCACACCCCTATAACTTGTCATATGCACAGATTTCTGGTACAACAGGGCAGGTCTGATACTGGTTCATTGATATTCTTTGCAAGGGCTAAGGGTTGTAATCACTTTGGAAATATAGACAGATAAATTTACAAATGCAGAGTGATAAGCTTCACTTGACTTAGCTTCCATTCCCATTAGCATGGTGCCTGCTCCCGCTTTCTGTGGTGTGCGGAATTGTTGTGGCGAGATCAAGCCCGTGGACACTGATGATGGGTCTGTACGGGCGCAATGCAGTCAAAAACCATACCACGAAGCATATCTCACGAAGTGTGAAGATGGCCATGTCATGTATGAATGGGTGACCCGTGGTAAACGAAGCCTGAAAGGCACTTTGGTTCGCGAAGGCCCGGCCAGCAAAACAAAACCTAGGTTAATGTTGCTGAATCCAAGGCATGATGGCTTGATGTTTTTACAATGCTTGCAAGCAGGGGAACCTATTTATAACTTGGTTTTTCTAAACCTAAATAATCGTACATATAATCGCCATGAGCCGCAGTAAGCCTAGTTCTAAATATAAACTACATAAACCTCTATACATATAATTCTTTTTTGTGGGGCATGACCACCTTGTAGTTCCCTTGTTTCTGACTTTGCCCCCAGGCAAGCATGAGGCACCACCTTTGCAAGATGAGGCACCACCATTGCAAGATGACATGGACAAGACTTTAGCGCAGCTAGCGGGCAAGGAGCCAAAGAAGCCACCTCCAGTCACTTGACTCTATTTGTTTCCCTGGCTTGTTTTTCCCCTTCTTCCTGACGGGCTTCTGTAAAAAGCAATGATTCAGGCTTTTCACGGTTCCCGCAGCACCCGCCTGGCCGCCAATCTCTGTGCACAGGTCCTGGACGATCCTACGTTGCTTGCTTTATCCGTGCCGTTGCAGCAGCCGAAGGCACAAAAGCCAGGAGATCCACAAGACCAAGGGGAAGGCATGGACAACCAGCAGCTCCCGGTGAGCTTTGGCTATCGGATAGTGTGGTTTTGACTTAGTGCTTGCTGGTTTGCCTGCGGAATCTTGATACAAGCGGGGTCCATTTTTTATTTTGATGCTTTGAAAGCAATGAATCTGAGGAGAGGAAGCTGTGCACCCGAGACCGCGCCTGCACAAGACGATGAAAGAGCACCAGTTGCAAATGCTGATCGGGTGGGAGTGGCAGTTTCACGCAAAAATGTTTCTAAGACATTCTAAGACCAGTACGGCAAAAGCTGCGGGGAAAGCAGCAGCTTCTAAGCCAAGTGCCCCTCCTGAAAGTCCGCAACCAAAGACACCGGCCAAACGAAAAGCAGAAGCTGTGCCCGAAGATACTCCGTAGAGCCAACCGCAGAAAGTGCAGAAGGCTGGCTTTGGTGGCAAAACGGAAAAAGCATCCTTGTGCAAAGCGTGCTCCGCCGAGCGGGATGCAGAGCAAAAGGGAAACTACTGGCAGCACTGTGTAAAATCTTGCCGTCAACTCTTTGGACACCAGTCTATCGGCCAGATTCTGGGATGCCAAGAGGACAGCGCTAAGCTGACAGAGAAATCCAGTGAGTTGAGGGCAAGTGCAGGCGAGGTAGCAGAGTAGAATTCACGATTGAATCGCGCACAAGTTGCGAAATTGGTCCGTGAAGTCAAAGCTTTTGTATCCATTTTGCCACGTCTTGAGTCCGCGCTGTCTCGGTTAGAGAAACCTCAGCTTCACAATAAGGACGTCCGAGACTAAGGTTTCACTGGGGTTGCATACTTGTAGGCTAGGGCCTGGCGCAAATGAAGAAATGACCTGAAAACAATAAAGACATAGGTTGCATTTCGTTGTCCTGATGGCGCCTTGTCCCTATCACTATCCATGGGAACACGGCTCGTGGAAGCCGTGCGTGAGACAGTATGCCTTTTCGGGGTTCACGGTTCACACGCCGTGCTACTATATATGTTGATGCGATTCGTGTGGAGAATGGTGCTGTGCAGTCAGCCTTCATGGGGGCTTGGCGCAGGATGGAAGGTCATCCCTGTAACCCGAAGTGCTTTTTGAGACTTTGAAATGTTATTATGAACCCGTTTTGGCCCCAAAATTCGCGGAAGCCGCGCGGAAGCTCCGCGGAAGCTACGCGGAAGCCGAATCTTCTCTTGCCCGCTCCCAGCACACGCGGTTGGGTACCAGCGGCTGCTTGACCATCCTGCTTCCTGCGAGGTTCCTCCACAACATGGACGTGCTGAGGTTGAACTAGTACTTGTCTGACCACAGTGCTGGTTGCCGAGGCATCTCCAGGGGGGGTGCTGAGTGGGCTGCGCTCTGCTCTCCACAGGCCTCCCTCTCTTGCTTTCCACGGGATTCTTCCATGACATTACCAGGCAGGTGCCTGGGCACATGAATCACGGGTCCATGAATAAGATATTTCACTTTTACTTATTTCTGCAGTGTTATCAATTCAATTCCCATAGTGGCAAAACTGTAGCCATGTCGTGTCGCCCCTGAGTGTGTAGGCCAGTGCTTGCCTAGTCCAAATATATCGAGTCCATGGCCGAAAAGAGAAAAAAGTCTTGGAGCTCACTGACACCACCATACCGCTCCAAAGTCTTGTCCGAATCTGTGGCTTCCTTTGTGCCGCATTGCCACCATGAATCAGATTTCGACCAGTTTTTGAAACAATTGCTTCAAAAAAATTGCCGCGACCATTCCGCGCTAGCTGCCTCAAGCTCCATTCTCCTCAATGCTCTAGACGCAAAAGCTGTCATTGGAGGCTTGGCAGCTTTGAGGGCTCAGCATGCAGAAAGGACGCTTCATCACCCTAGCATCACTGTGAATGAGTTGGATGATGTCCTTGTCCACAACACTCCGACCAGGTCGACTTTAGAGAATTTGGGCTACCCAATCTCCAGGAACCATTATGGCAAGATCTTGCGCAAGGAAGTCTCCCTGCAGAAAGTTCCGTCTGCAAGTCTTGGTGGGCGGCCCTCACTTGTGAATAGTGACGATGCTATCGCTGCAGTCGGCAAGGTGGTTGAGGAACACACCTTTGAAAGTGAAAGGGTCGTTGTGGTAGGTCACGGCTCGAAGAAGCGTATGGTTGTGGCAAACCATCTCACCAAGACCAAGCACCGGCTGTGGTGTGAAATTGAAGCCTTGCATGCTGCCATGTCTTGGGAAAGTTTTAGAATTAGAAAAGTGTTGCAGATCCATTTTCCGCATATGCGGAACTCTCGCCGCAACACAGATGTTTGCTCACACTGCAAAACATTTGAAAAGGACTTGCTGCCTGCAGCTTTCCGGTCCATGGAGCGGGCTCAGGCACTGCTGTCTCAACTTTGCCCAAACTACTTCCAAGAACTTGATACAAGCCAGCCCGACAAAGTCAGAATCCTGGAGCAATTTTATTCCTTTGTGGCACGACGGGAAGCAACTGCTTCGCAAGACCCATTGCGCCAAGGATTTACCAGAGCTGATCGTTTAGCTTTGCATTCAGCAGAAGCACAGGCACTGCACCGTTTGAAACCCCATGTGGAAATCGTGCAAGCCTATGAGTGGCACCAGGTCTCGGCCCGCAGGCAAGGAAACTTTGTGGCCTCTATGTGTTCAAAGCTTCCTTCTGGCACTGCCCTCCTCCACGTCGATTTCAAAGAGAACATCAAGTACCCGATGGGGCCAGATGAGACGTCGGAGGAGTGGCACGCCCAGAACAAGCTCTCTTTGACCGTTTTCGGCGCCAATGCAAGTGTACCGACGTGCCTAACAACCTGTGTTTTTGTTGTAGCTATTTTGTTTAGCTGATTCCTGCATGCTTTCACCATAGACGCACCAAACCTGTCCAATGCTCAGGCATGGCGGAGGAAGCAAAGAGTTTTTCATCCTCGTGACCACCGACATCTTAGATCATGATGCTCAGGTTGACTGCATGATGGTGAGCGCGGTCTTGTCGCATCTTTGCCCCCGTGCAGATGTGGACTGGGGGTCTGTGAATCACCTGCTGATAGTTGCCGATTGTGGCCCTCACTTTCGGAGCGAAGAGAACCTTGCGCATTTTTGCGTTGCCTTACCTATGACGCTCCGCATGTTTGTTGAGGTTTGCTGGCTTGTGGAGCAGCATGGCAACCCAGGGTTGACCGTTGTTTTGGCTGGTGCAATTCATGGATCACGAGCTACATCAACCGTGCCCCTATCCACAGCTTGGATGATCTCATCAAGTGCTTCACAGAAGGATCTGGACGCATGATGGCACAAGATCCTGATGGCCCCACCATTCCACTTGTACAGTTCGCCCCTGGCGAACGCAGGCCATCCAAACGCCTTTTGGTCAGCGAAAACTTCAAGATTTCGCGAACATACTTGCTCATTGGTTCCCTGTCCTCGTCTGCGCACCATGGGGCCATGATCCGCAACAAAACCTTTTCGGACTTATCCCCAGGCGATGTGCTCAGCTATAGCATAGCCTCCAAGACGTTTCTTTTGAAGATCTGCCGCCTTGGCGAGTTGGATGCTACGACAAGCCTCGTGCTTGGGAACAGCCAGGAGCTGAAGCAGGCAAAGAGAACAGTGTTACTCGCAGATTCCGCGACCAAAAGACAAAAAAGGCCGCTTACATGCCGAACCGAAGGCCAACCTTTTTGCAAAATTGCTCTGACAAAAGTCTTTCCCTGCAGCGCGCTGCTGCAAAGAAACGCCGCCAGAAGCAGAGGCTACGTGGAGAGGAATCTTCGTCTTCTTCCACATCTTCTTCATCTTCCGCCTCGTCTTCTCCATCGTCGGATGAAGAATCTGTCTGACTGCCGAGCGCGTGCTGCTGCCAAAGAAAAAATGCTTGAGTGCCCGGATGCACAAACAAGCCAAACATCACCCACTATTCTCCACAATCAAAGTCAATCAGTTTCCATCAATGCTAAATCAATTTGTAGATTTCATGAGGAGCTGGCTTTCGCGGAAGCTCCGTGGAAGCAGAATCAACTTACCAACCATCCGCGGAAGCTGAAACTGTGGTGGCGGAAGCAGCGCGGAAGACCGCGCGGAAGACAAGTCAGATTATAAGAGAATGACATAGGGTTTTCAGCACCGCTCATGTTTCATTATTTTTCATTATGTTTTTCCTCCTTCTCTATTGTTCATTATTTTTCCTTCGTTTTCTAGATTTTTCATTAGTTTTCATTTTTTTCCCTTATTTTTATATTTTTTCATTGTGTTTCATGTTTTTTTCTTCCTTTTTCTTTATTTTTCATTGTTTGTTTCTTTGTTTTTCATTAAATTTGATTATGTTTCCATTATTTTCTCTTTTTTTTCGTTATTTTCACTATTGTTTTTCATTGTTTTTTCCTTTTTTCTCTATGTTTCATTGTTTGTCATTGTTTTCTATTCTTTTTCTCGATTTTTCATGAGGTTGCATTGGTTTTTCATTGTTTGTTTGTTTCAATGTTTTTTTATTATACTTCGTTGTTTTTTCAATGTTTTTCATTATTTTTCATTGTTTTAACTGTTGGTTCTCTATTTTTCATTATGTTTCATTGTTTCCTTCTTTGTCTTTCATCATTTTCATGTTTTTCTGTTTTTCATTGTTTTTCATGGTTTTTCTTTGTTGTTTTTTATTTTTATTTTCTTTCAGTGTTTGTTCACTGTTGTTTCATTGTTTTACTTTTAAATTATGTTTCATGCTTGGGTTCCTAGTTTTCATTTTTTCATTGTTTGTTCATTGTTGTTTTCATTGTTTTGCATTATTTTTCATTTTTTTCATTTTTTCCCCTTTGTTTTCCTCTATTTTTCATTGCCTCTCATTGCTTTTTCATTTTTGTTCAGCATTGTTCATTGTTGTATCATTGTTTTTTCATAGTTTTTAATTATTTTTCATTGTTTTTCATTATGGTCATATTTTTTAAAAGTTTTTCATTGTTTTTTGGTTTTTCATTGTTTTTCCTTCTTCTTCCATATTTTTTCATTCCTTTTCATTGTTTTTTCATTGTTTGTTTTTGTTTGTCATTAAATTTCACTGTTTTCATTGTTTTTTCTTCTCATTTTTCCGCCATTGCTCATTGTCTTCCATTGTTTCTTCATTGTTTTTCATGATTTCCTTTGTTTTTTCATTGTTTTCATTGTTTTTCTTTTTTCATTTTCATTATTTTCCATTGTTTTTTCATTGTTTTTTCTCAATGTTTCATTATTGTTCATTGTTGTTTCATTGTTTTCATTGTTTTTCATTGTTGTTCATTGATGTTCTGTCGAACGCATTTCATCCTTCGCTATCAGTTTGCCGTTTGTTGTGTGCAACATCTTCATCTCAAGTCATTTCAATGTTGGTAGCCCCATCACTTGCCGTGTGCATTTGTTGCGCCGTTGGTGGCTTCATTGGTGGATTGTCCTTTAATCGGGAGACTCCTCATTGTAGTTGCCCTGATTGCGTGGTTAACCTGTCCTGTCCTGCTGTTCACTGTACCACCGGAAACTTTGAAATCAGCCTCACATCTCTGATCTATCTTGGATTTGGATTGCTGGTGACTTATCTCATTGGGTGGGCGGTGAAGAGACAAGCTGACTGTTGGGAGCCAACAAGCCAGAAGCGGGCAAGCGTAGTGGATGGCCGCCGGCCCTCACTTGGCACCTCAAGCCATTGGCGGCCCGGGGCCGGGTAGCTACCTCCTGGTCAAGTACGACTTGCCAGACACCACATGGCACAGCCGACTTTTGTTAGCGCATCTCAATGCAGGAGAATGGATTGTGTTGACTCCAGACGGAGACATATACTCGGAGGAGTACTCCCCAAGCAATGGAGACATAGCGTCTTGGCGACCCTACGACCCTCAAGTCGGCGCTCCCTTTGGGGTTGCTGTCGGGGACATTTATGAATTGAGGCTGTTTGACCCTCATTTCGTGCGAACGGGCCTCACCAAACTCGCATTTTGCCACATGTTTGGACGTGCGACCTGTGCGATCTCGTCTCACGTGCCCACAAGAAATTCGTATTTCACCACATGTTTGCGTCCACCACGCACGATCTCTGGAGACGGCTGGCGGCAAAGAAGGTTCGCATTTTACCACATGTTTGCCCATTCGACACGCGCGATCTCCGCAGAGGGTTGTTCAAGGACAAACAAAACCCGCATTTCGCCACACGTTTGGGTGACCGACACGCCGCGAAGGGTCACGTTTCGTAAGCCACCACCTGGCTGTCCCTGCCGGCAGAGAGAAATAGAAGAACTTGAGAAGTAGGATTTTGTAGGAGTTCAGATACAGTTTGATCACCTGGAAGTTAGCTGAACTCCTGTGTAGCAACTCCTGTCTAACAACTCCTGTGTAACAATTTCTGTGCAAATGACCTTGTAGGAGTTTTGTAGGAGTTCAGTTAGAAGTGGAACTGGTGTAGATGATGTTGTCTATGTTGTAGATAATGAGGATAATGTTGTAAGCGATGTAAGGTGAGATGGTTGGTGTTGATGTAGAAACGATGGTGTAGAAAATGTAGGCGATGTAGAGGATGTAGTGATATAGATAACGATGTAGGTAATGTATGTGTTGTAGATGATGTATGTCATGTAGATAGGTTGATTAAAAAAATTGTGTAGGTAATGTAGATGATGTGAGATAGATGATGATGATGGTGATGATGATGGTGATGATGATAATCATGATGATGCAGAGAAGATGGTGTAGAAAATGTAGGTGATGGAAAAGATGAATAGGAAATGTGAATGATGTATGTTAGGTATGAAGTAAAGAGTGAGGCGGGCAGCAGTTCTTTGGGAAAAACGTTTCGCCCTTCAGCTGCCACAGTATTGCAAACGCTTGTGGAAAACGGTTTTCATAAAGCGTTTGCGCTGTGATTGCGCCTTGCATGCCCGGCCTCTAGAGTAAGAAGGGCTGGGCAATAAACGCATTTCACTCGTTGCGTGTTTGTTGAGCTTCTTTGTTTCTGGCTGTTGGGAATACTCTTTGGGTTTATTTTTTGTTTGATAAAAGTCTGTTTGTTCCAATCTATTTGGACATGTTTGGCTACATGGAGACTGGCCCAGTTTCCTCTATGTCATCTTGGGTGGAAGCTGTGGGTTGGAAACCATTTTGTGATTCAACGGTGCCCCAATCCGTAGCCATGTCCACATGGGGATCCCATTGGCAGATTTCATGGAAGTGGATATATTTCTGATAATTTCCAATGAAAAGGTTTCCAACAATATAAATACCCCAACAGCTTGATGGTTTATAATGGAAAGTCAGGGTATCCCCATTGCAGGAAACCTTCATATCAAGTCCGATCGACATTGAAAGCTCAGATGGAACCCCAAAACTTTGGAACCGGCTCATCATGATGGTTTGAACGTTGCCATCCCACAATTTGGTTAGTTGAGAAGTTGTCGTTCGTTCGTTCGTTCGTTCGTCCGTTCGTCCGTCCGTCCGTCCGTCCGTCCGTGCGTGCGTGCGTGCGTGCGTTCGTTCGTTCGTTCGTTCATTCGTTCGTTCGTTCGTTCTTTCTTTCGTTCGTGCTAGTTAGTTCTTAAGCCATTGTTGGCTAAATCCTCAATTATTGGTCACATCCTGGCAGGTCTTCGCACGAAAATAGCTACGGATATTCATTTTAGAGCTTCACATGTGTGCGATATTTCAGTGGATGCCTCCCGCCCCGCTCTCTTCACGGGCATTTTCTGGTACTCAGGACCAGTTCGATGAATTGAGCACCGGCACGACATGCCACTACGGTGCGGCCATTTGGACGAAAGCCACGAACAGAGCTCCCGATTCGGACGAGGACTCTTGGAGTGAAATTTTGCCATTTTGGTGTTCAACAAATGAGAAGGTGTTGAAAGGAAATTTGCTTTGGCCTCCTTGTTTTTGTGTAACCTGCGGGTTTTCTTCATCGCGCCTTTGCCAGGATCTGCAGAAGTGTGGAGACGCCTGCCGCCTGCTGATTGTCGCTGATCAGCGAAGCGATTTCTCATCAGACCCACCGAAGATCGACGACTGCCGCACGGGTCCCACCCGAATTGATCTTAGATTCGATAAAGCCACGAAGGTCTTGGGTTATAACTTTTGGGACAACGACGAGTCGACTTCGCAGAATACCAAACTCTTCTGGCGCTTGGAACACACACCTTCTGGTTGCTGGGCAAAATACAGCCAGACACCCTATTTATTATTCATACCTTCTCCCCAATACTAAGCCTTCTCCCCCCTCCCGAAATAATAAAACCTATGGGTAGTCTGTATTCGGGGGTATTTAGTACCAAAAAATAGGAAACCTATAGGAGAGGTTGGTTGCTGTGAATGACGGATGGCAGAGCGAATCCGCTGATAGACCGAAAGGTGGTTGGAGTTGTGTTTTTTGGAGTGCATGGTTACAATGGTTGTAGTGGGGTGGTTGCAATGGTTGCAGTGGTCACCTCACCCACATGTACAGGCATAGTCGTACCTGTTTTAGGAAAAATCGTTGTGCCTTGGGGAAGTGTGTTTCGCAAAAGTCGTGCCTTTAGCAAGAACGCATAGGAACTCTGGAGTTTGGATATGTAACCCGTTTTCTTATGAGATCACGTAGCTGATCACTATTAGCATGCATAATTCCAGGTTGTGGGTATGTTGATTAGTTGTAGTTGTGGTGTGGTGTAGTGAGTGTAGTGTAGTGTGATGTGATGTAGTGTAGTGTAGTGTAGTGTAGTGTAGTGTAAAGTAGTTGCAGTTGTAGCTGTTGTTCCAGTTGTAGCTGTTGTTGTAGTTAGTGTAGTGTAGCGCAGTGCAGCGTAGTGTAATGTAGTTGTAGTTGTAGTTGTAGCTGTAGTTGTAGTAATAGTAGTAGTACTTGTAGTTATAGTTGTAGTGCAATTAGTGTAGTGTAGTGTAACTAGTGTAGCGTAGTGTAATCAGTGTAGTGTAGTGTAATTAGCGTACTGTAGCGTAGTATATTCGCATTTGGATCTGTAGTTGTAGTGGTAGTGTGGTGTAATAAGTAGTAGTAGTAGTAGTAGTAGTAGTAGTAGCAGTAGTAGCAGTAGTAGCAGTAGTAGCATTAGTAGCAGTAGTAGCAGTAGTAGCAGTAGTAGTAGCAGTAGTAGTAGTAGTAGTAGTGGTGGTAGTTGTAGTAGTGGTAGTAGTGGTAGTGGTAGTAGTGGTAGTAGTGGTAGTAGTGGTAGTAGTAGTAGTAGTAGATGATGTTGTTGTTGCAGTTGTGGTTGTAGCATGTTGTAGCTGTCTATCTATTTATCTTTCTATCTATCTGTCTATCTGCAAGGCTATTCTCCGAGACTTCCTCAATTTTTGAACTTGACAGCATCGGAAGTGCAGCATTTCTGCGAGATTTCCTCATTTTTAAAACTTGATAACGTCAAAAACGAAACAATTCTGCGAGACTTCCTTCAATAATGGGAAGTTGAGTGCAAAGCTGACGGCCTCGTGCCAATGCGTTTTGCGATTTTTCCAGTCCATGTCTCTATAGTATTGCGCCCGCCAGGAAAAAGTGAGGCCAGGTCATACGAAGTGCTGCGCCTGTGACTCAAAATCATTTTCCCCAAACTGAAGATCTGATGCGCCAAAATGCAACCCCTCTCAGGAAATCAGCGCCCGGACCGCCTAACATCTCTGCTGATAGACATGTCTCTTGTACCGTGCCTGCGACGGAAAACGCATCTTTTCCGATCCTCTTCAAATCTCCCACGCCTGCCAACGCTTGTGAAGCTGCTGCAAAACCCACGCTTTGCTCACTTTTTGACAAGGTGCACAATCCCGTGCGCCTGCCGCACGAAACGACATCTGAACGTCCAAAAGTGGTCCGAACATCGGTGCGCACTTTGTTAACATCTCAGCTTCCAAAAGTGGTCCGAGACCGTAAGTTTTAACACTTCTGACTTCGAAATGTGCTTCGGGCCAGAACAGCGTGCACTTTTTCGACATCGCAACTTCCAAAAGTGGTCCGAGCATGGTGTGTTTTGTGCATTTTGACGTGGACATGTGCTTCGCGCCACAAGGCCATGCAAGTTCTCATCTTCATCTGGCCAGATGGCTCTGCACCCACCGCTTTAGCGAGCCTACTTTTCGACCCTCCGGATCCAAAAACCATTGGAAAAACATAGCGCCTCACGACTTTTCTACCTTGTCTTGCACCTGCATCTTCTCACTCTTTCCCTTCTCTGATCGTCTCTCTTCTTCTCTTCTTGTCTCTGACTCTTCCCACCTCTGCTTTTCCATCTGTCCATATCGTTGGAAATTTCACTTCTAAACTTCCGTTAGGGTTCGAAGCTTCCCCCTAATATTGAATTTAACATCTTAATGAAACACACTTTACTTCGAGTGATCCCCACCCTGACATACGGTTCTGACATTCTATCTGACATACTGTTCTGGCATTCTATCTGACATTTAATCTGACATTCTATCTGACATACACTCTGGCATTCAATCTGGCACTCTATCTGACATTCTAGCTGACATTCCTATCTGGCAATCTACCTGACATACATTCTGACAATCTATCTGACATACGCTCTGGCATACTATCTGGCATTCTATCGACATTCTTTATGACATTCTTTCTGGCATCTATTCTGCGACATTCTTTTGGGCATTCTGTGTGGCATTATATATCATTATATATCGATATTTTTTTTACATATATATATATTTTATATATTTTGATAGATTGATATAATATATATATATACATTAAATAATCTTACAATTATATAATTATATATTTTTTATTTTTGTATTTCTATTTTGATATTCACACACACATATACATATATATATATATGTATTTATGTATTTTTGTAGCCATATATTTTTATATTTTTAAAATTCTATATTTATGCAATTTCATATTTATAGGATTTTAATATTTATATACATTACTGTAGGATCCACATTTTTCGGGAACACAACCAATTGGTGAGGACAATGATCAACCACCACCATCAGCCATCCCCTCCAACCAATACCAAGGCTGGGACGGTCAGGCGACCGTTCCGCGTACCGCCGATGGGGAGGGCACCGGTTTCCAAAGCATTGCCGCTGTTTCAACGCCGCCGCAGAGTGTTGTGAAACTCCGTTGCTCGGAATGGTGACATTCGCCACGTGCCAAATTTGACCCAGACCCGGGGCTAGGTCTGTCACTCTCCAAGCATGGGGGATAACTCCAGCAAACATAGGGGTTTCATTCAATAAGATTTGTGGGAAAGTACAATCAAACATTTTGGGTAAACGCGCTAGTTTGTCCAGAAAGGGGAGATATCAATCCATTAAACAACTGGAGACAACAACACTATTTTTAGGTGCCTATTTTCGAATTTCGTAGGACGACCAATTTCCATATGAATTTTCAAGTGTTTTTTGTGGTATGGACTACTGCCTGTTGGGACCACCGATGAACATCCACAACACCCAGCTGTTGGGGCGTGAAAACCAAAGTAGTTATATAGCACGATATTGACCAAAACCAGTTGCAACCCCAAACAATAACAAAACCTGCAGGGAGACTGGTGAGGTCTTTATTACATATGTAAGGACTGAATTTTCCAAGATGTTTGAGGCTCCAGCCCCTTGAGTCTCCTGGTGACTAGACTTGATCTTCCCAGTTTTGGTATGTTTTGTCAGTTTGATTCATCGCAAACATGTTACCATCTAGGCATCCAATATGCTGGCTCGGGCGGACTCAAATCCCTCAGGCGTGGGCAAAGTTTATGTTGATTGCGGAATGAGAAGCATGGTCAGTGGCATAAGACGCGTGCAGCGGTGTGAGTTTTCACCCGACTGGCTGATCGGGCTGATCGTTCAACATTTTTCTTATTTCCATCCCTGTTTCTTTCCATCCCAGCCTTGCCTGGTAGTGTGATAATGACCATGACGACGGCAACCACGAAGACGATGACGATGATGACGATGATGACCATGACAACGGTGATGATGATGACCATGATGACCATGATGACGATGACCACGATAGAGGATGGATGAGGATGAGGATGAGGATGAGGATGAGGATGAGGATGAGGATGAGGACGAGGACGAGGACGAGGACGAGGACGAGGATGAGGATGAGGATGAGGAGGATGATGGTGATGATGATGATGAAGATGATGATGATGAAGAAGAAGAAGAAACTGATGATGATTTTGGTGATGCTGGATGATGATGTATTGATGATTCATGATTGATGACTGATGATTGAACGATTTGATTAAATTTGATTTGATTTATTGATTGATTGATTGATTGATTGATTGGTTGATTGGTTTATCGATTGATTGATTCAGTGAGTGGTCAGGCCCAATAAGCATGATGACCCTAGTCAGGTTTTTTTTTCTACTTTATGTCATGAAACAATGACTATCCACGTTATAGTACTGATAGGGATGAACATGGATCCCATGCCGCGCGTTTGGCCAGGTTGTGCCGTCCCAAGGCCAGACGCCAAAGTATGGAGGGAAAGAACAGCAGGAGAACCATGGAACACACATAAACTATCATAAACTACTAGCCAGAAAAAATGTTATACTTTCTTTGGATTATCTTTGGAAGGTTTCATGAATTTTTGAAACCTTTTGTGGAGGTGTTTGGCATCACAATCGGGTCAACCAGGTCAACCAAGCTAGGTTCAAGCTTGGGCAGATTTCTTGAGCATTTCGTAAAGATTTTGTGAAAAACCAGGGAAACAGCTGGGCCAAAATGTCGGACCACTCACATCTCCACGAGGCAACCGCTCCTCCCGCAACTTGGCTCGGGCTCCGGTCCGAACGAGATGAGCGATGGGCATAACCTGAGTCGTGGGAGATCGGACATCGCAACCCTTTCGGGTTGGTGGTTTCAAATACTTTATCTTCAACTAGTTATATTATATATATAATTATCATTTATGATCATATGATCATGTGTATATCATGTATATCATTTATATCATGTATATCATGTACGTAATGTAATGCAACGAAATGTAACATAACGTACCGTAACGTAATGTACTGTACTGTAGGCGGGCAAAACCCCAGTTAGAATGCCTCGTGTCGGATAAACTTAGAATCATCGATAATGTCAATGTCCGTGCAATATTGTAGAAACGTCATCATTTTATATATTTACCAGTGACTATCATGGAAGCCGTAAATGGCCGACATTTTTTCTATGTTATCTTTATTATTTGACCACACAAAGGTGTAGCCGTTTCTTTTTTTGCAAGAGGTCTCAGCAAAATGCAAACAACTGAAGGGACAAAAATGAAAATCGTCCAAAAACTGGGGGGTAGCCACGTTTTTCAACATTTGCTGGGACAAATTAAGAAGCATGGCCTGAAAATACGAGCCGAAAGAATTCATTATGGAAAAACTTGTAGCGGCTAGCGTTTTTTTTACAGCATATCCCAGCAAAAATGAAGAAACACGAAAGGACAAGAATAACATTCTTCAAACACTTGGGGAAACATGGTGTAGCTGCGTTTTTTCTTTCAAAGTTCATATTGTCTGGGTGTAAAACTTAGAATATTTTAGAATGCGCATTTGGTATGTCGAAAAGGGCATTCTTTCCGCAGAGATTGAATGACATGGAAAGGATCCAGCATAGAGTGCCTGTCCTTTCGCTATGCAGAACCAATATTGAAACCTTGACTGACCCCAAGAAGGTTGCAGTTGCCTTATTTTTTTCGAACCCTTGCCCCCCCCAAAAAAAGAATCAACGAAAATTACATTATTTCGAGTGATTCCCACCCTGACACATTACTTTGCCATCATAGTTTCTGACACATCATCTGGAAGTATACATGGTATAATCTTCCTGTCAGATTGCATTGACACGACAATTCATTTCAATCACAACATGTGATCATTTGCATTTGCCAGGTGGGACAACATGTCCAACATTTCATTTTCCAATGCCCTTTTGGTTCCGGGCGCATTTCATTAGGCGCCTTGAGTCAGCACAGGCACGACACACGTGCAGTGAGGAAAACAACTTTGAGGCGTGGACTGCTCCTTCGTGAGAGCATCATCCCGAAATTGGTAGCGGAGCTCTTCACGCTCCTTTCTGAAGGCTCCTGCTACCTGCTACAACCTTGCCATCTTTGCCGCATCGATCACTGTGCTTTTGGCTGTGAACATCACGGAACCTGAGGTGGTGATTTATTGACCTGATGCCCGGCAAAGGCAATGGTGGTGGAAGCGAAGCTGCAACTGCAGCAAATGGAGGAGCTGCAGGTAATGGATCCCAAGGATTCCCTGGCGGCGGTGGACGTGGACTAGATTCAGGTTTGGCAAAATCAGCCCCTTCAGCAGAGGGACTCAACCAGAAGAGCTACAGAAGTTACAGGCGAAGACTCAAACATTTTGCCAAACAATGTGCACGTCGCAACAGGGACACTTCCATAGAGGGAGCCTATCTAGCAATCAGTCTTCTACAAGATTCGGCATGGGAGGCTACGGAACAACTAGACCTTGATGAGGTTGAACTTGCAGAAGAGCCTTTCAGCCCGATTTGGGAACTTTTGGACAAGCTCTACCAGTACGAGGACCTCATCGAAGTCCCTAGCCGATGTGAGGAGTTTTTCCAGGAGTTCATGAGGTTGAAGAACGAGGATCTACAGGCCTACATCTTGCGGCATGGCAATATGATGAAGAAGATGAAGGAGGTGCACATCGAGATCCCCAAGCTCTTGGCAGGCTGGCATTTGCTTACCCGTGCAGGTGTGCCCAAATGGACGCACGTGCAGGTGAAGTCAATGTGCGGTGGTGACATGGAGTATGACAAGGTCAGCCAAGCTTTGATGCGAATGTTTGGAGGAGATCATCGCCCCAATCCAAAAGACCTTGGCAAGCTCAACAAGGACGACGTCTTCTATGAGGACATTGATGAAGAGGTCTTCTACGAGGAGGACGATGATGAGTACTACGATGGCTATGACGAGGACTTCGACTACACCAATGACGAGGTCTACTACGAGGACGAGATCCCTGAGGATGTGGAGAATGCAGCAGATCAAGTCGAAGATGCCTACTCCAGCTATGTGGAGAGCCGTCGTCGAATGCGAGAATTGGCTTTGTCGAGAGGCTTCTATCCCATCGTTGCAGTGGGACCTGAGGCGCAGTCAGAGAAGGGCAAGGGCTATGCACGAGGTGGAAAAGGCAAAGGCAAATCAAAAGGTGGAAAAGGAAAGGGCAAGAGCAAGGGATACAACAACAATGGCAATGGCTTCAAGAAGACTCCATGGTCGAGGCGGCCGGCAAGTGGTCTGAGGAGATTTACACCAAGTTCTACACCAAGCACTTCAAGCGGCGCGAGCACTGAGCTGAGATCAACTTTGTCAGGATCAACATCGCAGCATGGACCCCGTTTCAAACGATACCGAGTCCAAGGAGCTGGAGTCAAGGAGGTTTCAGAGGACCAGGTCACTATGGTGGAAGACATCACTGAGGACAGTATCTACTAGATCAATGCAGCTGAGGAATGCCTGTTCTCCAACATGTTGACAGGCATGGCAATTGTCGACTCTGGAGCTTCAAGAACTATAGTTGGCGAAGATGTCTGGAAGCAATGGCTTGAGCACATGCGCGAGCGCGATGTCAAGGAGATCCACTACAACAACGAGGTCAGAGACTTTTGCTTTGGAGACGGCAATGTGGTCAGATCCAACTACGAGGTGAACTTCCCAGCGTATGTCAAGGGCCAGAAGTTGAATCTCACTGCAGCAGTTGTTCCTGGAGGAACACCTTTTCTTGTGGCGCGACCTACGCTTGAAGAGTGGAAGGTGAAGCAGGACTATGAGAACTCCAGATTGAAGGTGATGAACTCTGATTGGTTGGAGCCCGAGCGCGACAAGAAGAAGCACTACAGTCTCAACTTGATGGACTATGAGGACGTCAAAGAGGAGGTCGACCACCAGCTGGAGGAGAACATCAAGATTGGCGTTTTGACTGATGAATGCGAGATTGCCTTCAAGGACGCTCTGGAGAATGACATGGACGCCATCATGGTGGCCGAGGATGTGCAAGACAGTTGGACCATCGAACCCAACATCGACAAGGAAGGCATGTTAGAAACATCGCAACACTGCACGGTCGACGTGGGTGTGAACGATGCCCTGGAATTGAGTGATGTGGCGGTTGGCAAAAGCTTTGCTAGCCGCGGGCTCCTCTTCTGGGAGGTCTACGTCGACCCTGGCAACATCTCTCAACACATGGTCAACCACTACCCCGACGTGGAGGTGGCAAATTTTTCTTTGCCAGACTGGGACTTCAAGAATGCGGAGATCAGGAAGAGATTTCTGGAGCTCATGGAGGTGGAGAAACCACACTTCATTTGGCTTGCACCTCCATGCACTTTGTGGTCGCCCATGCAGAACTTGAATGCCATCACTGAGGCTGACAAACAACGACTTCAAGAACTACGAGATGAGGCAAGGATGTTCACAACAAGTCTTACGACATCTACGCTGGCGATGGCATCGAGAACCCCGACAGAGCGAGATCCTGGTTCACTACAACATGGCAATCTATGGAGGAATGCTACGATGCAGTATGCGATTGCTGTCGTACAGGCCTAGCATACTTCAAGAATGGCATCTACCAGGGGCTCGTCAAGAAGAGCACCAGAATCAGGACAAACTTTCCTGAACTTGCAGAAGCTTTGGATCTCAAATGTCAATGCCCACGAGGTGAACATGTTCAAATGATTGGCAAAAGTGCGGCGCTGAAAGACATGCAGAACTATGAACCGAACTTTGTCCAGCGTGCCGCCAAAGCCATCTACAACAACATGGAGAATAATTGGCGTCTGAGGCAGATTGCCCAGGTGATGGTCACTGAAGAGCTCAACGACGAAGAGGCTGAAAGAGAGAGAAAAGCAGTTCAACAACAACACCGACTGACGGAGCATGATCGTCCAGCTTCTCTCAATGTGGTCAAGAAGTTGCACAGACAGCTTGGTCATCCTGGCAATGACAGACTGGTCAAGGCCCTTAAGGATGCGAACTTCGATGAGACGATCATGAAATGCGGACGTCAGTTTCGATGTGACATCTGTGAGTCTTTTGCCCCAAAGAAGCTGGACAGACCAGCATCACTGCCACAGACCACTCACTTCAACGACATGCTTGAGATGGATGTTTTTCACATCAAATGTCATGGACAAAAGCACAAGATTCTTGCAAGTTTGGATCTGCATGCAAGGTATGAAATGAACGAGATGGTCAACAGCGAAAGCTTTGATGAGGAGACAGCAGCTTTGCAGCGATGGATGTCTTTGGCAGGTGTTCCAAGAAGGATCAAAACTGACTCTTCAGGTGCACACATGGGAGAAGAAATGCAGAGCTGGTGCGATGAATATGGCATCAAGCTCATCCTTGTGCCAACGGATGCTCACAACAGGATGGGCACCATCGAGCGTCTTCATGCAGTACGACGCCGACAACTCATGAAAATGATGAAGGAAAATACCAGCTTGGACATCCGCAAGGCAGTCATCATTGCCTGCTCTCAGCGAAACCGACTGAGATCAATCCATGGAATTTCTCCAGCAGCCATGGTCTTGGGATACACCCCTGAAGATGATGGAATCTGCGATGAACCAACCAGACTTCGAGTTGATGGGCGTCAAGCCTACATGGAAGATCAGGCCATCCGATCTTTGGCAACCAAAGCCTTCTATGAGGCCAACACCGATGCGACACTCAGACAAGCCATGCTAGCCAAAACCAGAAATGATGATGAACCTCTACAAGTTGGCAACTATGGCTACTACTGGCGCATCATGATGGACAAAGAGGCATCCAGGTGGCGTGGCCCAGCTTTGGTGTGTGCCGTTGAAAGTCGACCAGATGGACGACCTGATGTCTATTGGATGGCACATGGATCATCACTGGTTCGTGTCTCACATGTCATGGCACGACGTGAAGTTCCAGCAGAAAGAACAGCAAGGTTAGAACAATTGCCCGACACTGCAGCCCGAGAACCAGCCAAACAACGTGTTGTAAGAGCACTTCGGCCAGTGCGGGGACCAATTCGTTTTCTTGACCTTGCCCCCGATGGACCTTCCGTTGACGCAGAAGCAAAAGCAGCAGCAGAGACAGCAGCCGCAGCAGCAATGGAGATCAAGAATGAGGCCATGAACCAAACAACAGCCGCAGACAGCAAAAGCAGCATCAAGGAGGAGATCAAGACGATCAAACGTGACAGTGCAGCAGCAGAGCTTGAAACAAGCAACAACATGGATGTGGAGCAGCAACCTGCAGCAGAAGTGAAAGCAGAGAAGCGAGAGAGATCAAGAAGTCCACCAAAGGAGGACGAAACACGTTTGCGAATGTCACAGGCTTCTTTTGATGCAGCACGACGATTGGAAGGCTTGCCTCCGAGAGCGGCTACCAGACAAGAGCTCAACAGCAATTGGCATGGTCCAGTCGACAACATCGATGTGGATGACGAGCTGCTTGCGGAGGAGTTCAACGAGAAGAAACTGAGCTTGGAAGAGAAGGCTCAGTTTGATGAAGCCAAAGATCAGGCACTTCGAGTCTGGATTGAAAATGATGCTTGGAGACCAGTGAACATGGAGGAGGCTGATCCAGAGGAGACAGTCCCAGCTCGCTTTCTTCAACGATGGTCAATGGTCAACCCCACTCTGAGCATTGAGACCGACGAGACACTTTGTCACAGCGGCCTCTCCTCTGTCCTGACTGATGCGAAATCCCTCTTCGATGCTTCAAAGTCCATTACCTCAGGCATACATCTCACTGAGCGTCGCACTGCCATCGAAGTGGCGATTGTGGCTGAGAGGGTGAAAGTCATGCAGGCTGAATGGAAGTGGCTGAACTCACATCAGCAAGTTGCAGATGGACTCACCAAACCATCTGCCAAAGATCGTTTTGCCGAAATCCTTCAGCGAGGAAACCATCAGCTCAAGTTTGACCCAAATTTTGTTCCAGCAAAGAAAGTGGCTCAGAAAGGCAAAGATGCGCAGGAGAGACATCTCCAACAAGTGGCAACTGAGCAAGTTTTTGGGCTGACGGAGGATGATGAAAACAAGTCCGCCGACCTTTGTCAGTCGCGCGGGTGCCGCAAAAGATTGACTCGTCCGAGCCTCTGCAAGTTTTGCAGCAGGAGGCATTTTTATTTGAATCATCATCAGAAGTTTGGATGGTCCGATGAATGGAGCAAAAGTGCCAAGCTGGCAATTTCCATTTTGGCTGTGGAGAATGCGAGTCAAGCGGAAGCACACATGTTTGGAGATGATGTTTTGAAAGCGAACACATGGTGGAAAGTTTTCACAGCGTTTGCAATCATCTTCTTCTTTGCGCAGGTGTTTTTCAAGGTCATCCATGTCATTGAGCACACTTTTGAGTATGTCAGGTCGCAACTGAATGCCCCAGCTTCTGAGAACATTGCAGCTTTTGAAAGTGACATCACTTTTGAAACCAAGGCTGTTCAGGCGAATGTCCGCCTTCATGCGTATGACATGGCCCTTGAAGAGATCTTTTTGTTTGAAGAGAACTACGCCCGGCCGAGCCATGGCGTGCCGATTCCTGATGAAGGTCTATGGTGTTCAACGTATGACGAGGTTCTGAATGAGCCTGACCAGGAAATGTGGCGCAAACTGTCCTCTAGCAGGCATTTTGGCTGGAAAGTTTGGTCATCGAGCACGAGACTGGTGGTATGCAAACACTGCTAGCGATGTGCGTGCTGAGCGTTTTCTTCAGAGAGATCAAAGTGGACAACCAGTGAGAGAATCAAAAATGAAGACATGGCATCGTCTTTGCAATTTCAGTGATGGAAAGTTTCTGAGAGGCTTTCTGACTGGCTTTGCTGAGAATCTACGGGAAACACAGGAAGATCAACAACGAGAAGTGGCAGAGCGAATCATGCAGGGCAAGCTGCATGACTAGATCATTCAAACGAGGTGCACATGGAAAAGCGTGCGTCATGGCTTCAGCTTTTTGGCCGGAGAAAATTCTTGGGGCGCGTGGAATCACAGAAGCGCACTGGATGAGAGAGATTAGCGAAGAAGGACAAGCACACATGAGCGGCCGTGGCATTAGACTCAAAATTTTGTTGACTTTCTTCCCCGTGTCAGATTGCATTGACACGACAATCCATTTCAATCACAACATGTGATCATTTGAATTTGCCAGGTCGGACAACATGTCCAACATTTCATTTTCCAATGCCCTTTTGGATCCGGGCGCATTTCATTAGGCGCCTTGAGTCAGCACAGGCATGACACACGTGCAACGAGGAAAACAAATTTGAGGCTGGGCTGCTACTTCGTGAGAGCATCATCCAGAAACTTCCGACGTTCTATTCTGACATTCTGTTCTGGCATTCTATCTGGCATCAATTCTGCCATCCTTTCTGGCATCTATTGAATTGACATTTTCTCTGGCATTCTATCTGACATTCTTTCTGCCATATTTTCTGGCATATATTCTGGCATGCTATCTGGTATATATATGTTCTAGCATTCTATCTGGCATTTTATCTGACATTCTATTGTGCCATTCTATCTGGCATCTACTCTGACATTCTCTCTGGCATGTGTTGAGGTCCGGCAGTGCCCACTGCGATCTGGTGCTCGCGTTGAGGTCCGGCAGTGCCCACTGAGATCTGGCGCTCCTGTTTGAGGTCCCGCAGTGCCCACTGAGCTCTGGAGCTGTTTGTGCTACTGCTTGCTGAGTGGGGAAAAGTGAGCGCAGTCTGAATGTGCTGTGCATCGGACATTTAGTTCATTCAAGGTTGGCCGGGTCGGTGATGAAAGTATGTTTGTGACACTGGCATTTCGGACTCTGCTCCTGCCTGTGCCATTTTGGATCTCAAGCCGACATGGCCTGGCTGGCCAGGTTGTGGTCACCCAGCCATAGGTTGTGGCTCAACCACATGTTCTGTGCCGTTGTGGTGCGGTGCGAATTTTGACATGGCTCGCGCAACGGCACTTTGTGCATGTCGGATCGCTCTCATTGTGGGGCGGTGCTGATTTTAGCTGATTTTCTCTTGCGAGTTCTCTGTCTGGAAGGTCCTTCTATGACGATCTTGGATGATCTTGGATACTTTCATGGTGCAGTTTTGGAGGTCCATGATAAATAAAGATCTTGACCAAGGTCGTGTAGAGGTCCTTGTGAGAAGATGTTGTGAAGATTGTGATCAAACCCTTGCATAATCTTGTACAGGTGCTTATCAGAAGATCTTGTGAAGATCCTGCTGACATCCTTGCATGATCTTGCACAACTCCTTATTAGATGACCTTGTGGAGATGCTGGTGAAGTCCTCTCTACAAGAGGTCCTTGCATGATCTTGTACAGGTCCTCAGAAGATCTTGTTGAGATCCTGGTAAGGTCCTCTCCACGAGGCCCTTGCGTCAAGATCTTGCAGATGATTTTTTGTTTGAAGTTCTTGGGAGGTTCTTGTATCAAGATTGTGTAAGATCCTCTCCAGCAGCAGCAGCAGCAGCAGTTTAGGGCTTAGGGGTCCTGGCATGACTTTTGGTCCAGGTCTATAACAATTCCTTGTGAGAAAACCTTTTAGAGATCCCGGGAAGTCCTCTAAATGTCCTTGCATGATCTCGTACAGGGTCCTTGGGAGAAAAAAAGGTGGGGATCCTGTTGAAATCCTCTGCGAAGTCCTTGCATTAGGATCTTGAAGATGCTTTGCATTGGTGCTTGTATGAAGGTCCTTCTGGGATGTTCATAAGAAGTTCTTGTTTGAGGACCTTCTAAGATCCTTTATATAAAAGGTTAGTCAGACTTCGGCGATCTTTTGAAATTCTCTTAAATGTCCTGGCATGAGGTTCTGGTATGAGGTCCTGATGAGTAGATGTAGCCTTGCTCCTTGTGCCAAAACAAGTTCCTGCTGCCGCAGCTACGATAATGTTTAACCGGACCTGTTACTGTTCCATAGCTACTGTTGCTTGTATCTGGTACATTGATTTCCTACCCCCCACACTGTTTCGGGTCTCTTGCCGGTGTAATTTGAAGTTATGTTATGTAATGTTATGTCTTTTTAATGGTATGTTATGTAATTATTGACATGTAATGATATGGAAGGATATGGTATGGTATGGTTTGGTATGGCATGTATGTTAATGCAATGTACTGCAAAGAAATGCATCGCAATGCAATGCAACGCATCGTAATGAAATGCACTGCAACGCAATGCAAGGTAATGAAACGCAATACAATGCAATGCAATGCACGGTATTGTTTGTATGTATGCTATGCAATGTGAATATGCGATAGACCCATATTGTTGGGATGGGCTGCAATCACCTGTTGATGTTTCCCTGCATTTTTTTAACCGCAGGTGGCGCCAAATGTTGAGGGTTTAGCCTTTCACACTGATTTCATGGCCTTCGTGCCAGTGCTGTGGGGCTCATTTCTGGGGTTCAACCATTTTCATACATGAATTTCATGATGTAGTTGAATTGAAACACCTCAAACACATCAAAAAGTTCAGCCTTTTAAAACACATTTGGATCTTTTTGTTCTTTTCAAATTAAACATCTCAAACAAATCAGCAAATTTAGCCTATTGAAATACTTTCTGTTGCAAAATCAACATGGCCTGCAAAAATGAAATCAAAAAACAGGTTCAGTCTTAAAACATAGTGTGAATTTCATTGAAAATCAAAACATATTGTGACTTACCCATGACAATTTGAAAAACATATTTCGTTACGAAATGAATGCAATTCACATCAAGTCACTGTGTTAGGGGACAGACATCGACCAGGATGTGACGTGCCCAAACAACGACTACTTCGATCTGTACTTCTCTGGGCCTGGAAGGCCCGCCGCAGCGCCGCAGCATTTGTGATTTGAGGAACTCTTAAGATGAAAAGGAGGTTTTCTTGCTTATTTCTAGCCCCAAAACATAGATCCTGCCAAATATGGGTTTGCAACATTAGTTTCCACTAAAATTGTCAGTTTTCAATGTCTGCGGGGTCTGCGTTAGTGTTGGGGAGGGCACTATTTTCACGACCCTCAGTACTACTGTAGCATTGCGACCCCACATGTTTATTGCTCAAGATGGTCTCCAAACTTGGATGGTTTGGTACTGAAAACTCATGAGGCATCTTTGGGTTTAAAACGATGCCCAAATTTCGGGTTGCCAGGCACATTTTTTGCAAGGTTTTATCCATCAAAAGAAACATGTATACCCAGGCCTTGAAACGGCACATTTAACTTCGACATACGGAAATACTGGAAATACTATGTTTAACCGCGGTGGGCCCTGGCATCACTTGTCACGCCGTTTGAGTATAGGTATAAGCGAAGCGAAGCGAAGCTAATCTAGGGGGCGTGGGGGGGGAGGCTCTGATTTGGGCCCGTTTGGGAAGGTGAGGCCAGAGCCTGGCTGGGGAGAGCTCCAAAAATGCCGTGCTGCACTTCCGTTTGGTGGAGCTTGTAAGAGAAGCTCCATTTTGGACACTTGTTGGTTGTTTTCTGACGTTTTTCATCGGGTTTCAAAAGCCAAAGTAATTTACAGTGTTTTTGCGCTTTTGGCATGGAAAACGTACTTCTTGCAACATGCTGAAAACTGCGTAAATACCACTGTTTTTGCTAGGTGCTGGCCACAAAACACTGTAAATACCGTGGTTTTTGCTACCAGGAGCAAAAAACACCGTAAATACCGTGGTTTTGGACTTGCGAGGCGTAAAACACACAGTATTTACGGTGTTTTTTGCTCCGAGACTCTTCAAAAAACACGTAAACACCACCTATTTGACATTTTTTTTGCTTTAAACATGAATGTAAAAAACATGCAGCAACAACAACAACAACAGCAACAACAACAACAACAACTACTACTACTACTACTGCTACTGCTACTGCTACTGCTACTGCTACTGCTACTACTACTGCTACTGCTACTGCCACTGCTACTGCTACTGCTACTGCTACTGCTACTGCTACTGCTACTGCTACTGCTACGACTACGACTACGACTACGACTACGACTACGACTACGACTACGACGTATACGACTACGACTATACGACTACGACTACGACTACGACTACGACTACAACTACGACTACGACTACGACTACGACTACTACTGTGTGTAAAAACATTTCGGTGTAAAGATGTTTGTGTGTAAAAGGGTCTGTATGTAAAAGCCTCTGTGTGTAAAAGCGTCTGTGTGTAAAAGTGTTTCTGTGTAGAGATGTTTGTGTGTAAAAGGGTCTGTGTGTAAAAGTGTTTGTGTGTAAAAGCGTCTGTGTGTAAAAGGGTCTGTGTGAAAAAGCGTGTGTGTGTGTGCGTAAAAGGGTCTGTGTGTAAAAGGGTCTGTGTGTAAAAGTGTTTGTGTGTAAAAGGGTCTGTGTGTAAAAGCATTAATATGTAAAGATGTTTGTGTGTAAAAGGGTCTGTGTGAAAAAAACGTCTGTGTGTAAAGGCGTCTGTGTGTGAAAGGGTCTGTGTGTAAAAGGGTCTGTGTGTAAAAGCGTCTGTGTGTAAAGGTGTCTGTGCGTAAAAGGGTCTGTGTGTAAAAGGGTCTGTGTGTAAAAGCGTCTCTGTGTGAAGATGTTTGTATGTAAAAGCGTCTGTGTGTAAAAGTGTTTCTGTGTAAAGATATTTGTGTGTAAAAGGGTCTGTAAAAGCTTCTGTGTGTAAAAGGGTCTCTGTGTAAAAGCGTCTGTGTGTAAAAGCGTCTGTGTGTAAAAGCGTTTGTGTGTAGTGTAAAAGGGTCTGTGTGTAAAAGCGTCTCGGTGTAAAAGCGTCTCTGTGTGAGGAGTTGGTGTGTAAAAGGGTCTGTGTGTAAAAGTGTTTCTGTGTAAAGCTGTCTGTGTGTAAAAGGGTCTGTGTGTAAAAGTGTTTGTGCGCAAAATTGTGTGTAAAAGGGTCTGTGTGCAAAAGCGTGTGTGTGCGTAAAAAGGGTCCGTGTGTAAAAAGGTCTGTGTGTAAAAGTGTCTGTGTGTAAAAAGGTTTGTGTGTAAAAGCATTTCTGTGTAAAGATGTTTGTGTGTAAAAGGGTCTGTGTGAAAAAAACGTCTGTGTGTCAAGGCGTCTGTGTGTAAAAGGGTCTGTGTGTAAAAGGGTCTGTGTGTAAAAGCGTCGCTGTGTGAAGCTGTTTGTGTGTAAAGGCGTTGTGACAAAAGTGTCTCTGTGTTAAGATGTTTGTGTGTAAAAGGGTCTGTGTGAAAAAACTTCTGTGTGTAAAAGGGTCTGTGTGTAAAAGCGTCTGTGTGTAAACGTGTCTGTGTGTAAAAGGGTCTGTGTGATAAAACGTGTGTTTGTGTAAAAGGGTCTGTGTGTAAAGGCGTCTCTGTCTAAATATGCTTGTGTGTAAAAGGGTCTGTGTGTAAAAATGTTTGTGTGTAAAAGCGTCTGTGTGTAAAAGTGCCTGTGTGAAAAACATGTGTGTGCGTACCAGGGTCTGTGTGTAAAAGTGTCTGTGTGTAAAAGTGTCTCTGTGTAAAAGGGTCTGTGTGTAAAAGCATTTCTGTGTAAAGATGTTTGTGTGTAAAAAAGTCTGTATGTAAAAGGGTCTGTGTGTTACAGCGTCTCTGTGTGAAAATGTTTGTGTGTAAAAGGGTCTGTGTGTAAAAGCGTCTGTGTGTCAAGACGTTTGTGTGTAAAAGGGTCTGTCTGTCTGTGTGTAAAACCTTCTGTGTGTAAAAACATTTCTGTGTAAAGATGTTTGTGTGTAAAAAAGTCTGTGTGTAAAAGGGTCTGTGTGTTACAGCGTCTCTGTGTGAAAATATTTGTGTGTAAAAGGGTCTGTGTGTAAAAGCGTCTGTGTGTCAAGGCGTTTGTGTGTAAAAGGGTCTGTCTGTCTGTGTGTAAAACCTTCTGTGTGTAAAAGCATTTCTGTGTAAAGATGTTTGTGTGTAAAAAAGTCTGTGTGTAAAAGGGTCTGTGTGTTACAGCGTCTCTGTGTAAAGATGTTTGTGTGTAAAAGGGTCTGTGTGTAAGAGCGTCTGTGTGTAAAAGGGTCTGTGTGTAAAAGCGTCGTTTGATCCTTCATTCTTTTGCTATGCATGGGGCGTATAAGAACTATCTCGAACCACCTTGAAACAACAAGGTTTCGAAGATTCGCCATGCAATAGTTCTGGGATAATCCTCCAAGCCGCAACAACAGGATTGGTTGCTGTGGTGAAACGGCCAGCAGCGAAGAATTGATCTCTGTGGTGCACAGCTCTCAGATGCAACACACAGAGCATAAAACGCAAAGAAAAAACGCCGCCTGAGCATTTGTTTGGAGGCTGGCTTTCGTCCCCCCCTTCTCAGGTATATAATATATATATATATATTATATATTATATATTATATATTATATATATTATATATATTATATATATTATATATATTATATATATTATATATTATATATATATATTATATATATTATATATATTATATATATTATATATATTATATATATTATATATTATATATATATATATATATTATATATATTATATATATTATATATATATTATATATATTATATATATTATATATATTATATATTATATATATTATATATATTACATATATTATGTATATATATATATATATATATACTGTTGGAAAACTGCTGTGCAGCGTGGGTGGAAGAGCAGACCTAGATTGTTGTGAGCCCAAACCTAAAAGTGCCCATGAAGTTGCTTGAGATACCCATGACATATTACATAAATTCACCCGTGAAGAACTAAGTTTATCCGGGCGCTATGCGTAAACTCAACCCTTCCAAACTCGATGTTTTTCTGTGGTGGTTTTTGATCCCAAAGCTTTGACCGATCCCGCAAAGTACTTGGACCCAGTCCCCCAAAAAAGAGCATGGTTTAACTGAGTATTTCATGGGTAAACTTGGCATTTAGCGCAAATTTTAAGCTTGTTGGAACGTCTCGGTATCCTTTTTAATTCCCCATGCTAAACCCTTTCAAATTGGAACATACACAGATTGATTCCCACTTTTCGGGTGTTCAATCTCGCAAAACTGCTCGCAGAACTGCCAGAACTGCGAACTTGGGAGGTTTTTTGATGGGAATTCGGACAACGAACTTGCTCCTGGCACTGGCATCTACTTCGTCACTTGGCCCAATATTGCAAAGAGCAAAAACCTACCAGGATACAAGTATAGTTACAACCAAGGGGCAGTAGCTTGAGAGTTGCTCTTTTAGTTGATGGCATTCTATGATATTTTATTACGGCACTTGGTTGCAACTTGAACTTTACCAACTGTTTATTTGGCAGGCATTGGATGAATCACTCTGTTCCAACCTTGTTTCATTAAAACACGGATGGGAATACCTGTAAATCTTACACTATAATTACCAGCTATCAATAGCTATCATTTTACCATTTTCATCTTGGTTCATGTCTTCCAAGAAACCAAACATGTCATCATCGAGGTGTGTTTTTTGACATGTAACAGATCAACAGATCGACGACTGCACATACTCCAAGAAGAGAAGGTGTTTTAAACCACCATCTCTGGACTCAAAAAGGTGCCAGACAGGATAAAAAGTTGTGATTCCAAAAATTCTTTGGTAATTTGCTTGTGTCTTCGGCAGACTTCGGCAGACTTCAGCTGCTCAGTGTTCTGCCCAGGATTCTTTCAATCCCAGAGGCACCGAGAATGCGGACAGCGATGGTATCAGTTGCATCGATGCCGCAATGTGGACCGGCGACACCAACAGAGGCGGCACCGGCAGCGGCAATGGTGTGGATAGGGACTCTGAGTGAGATGGAGTAGCCTTTTTGGGTCTTTTTGGTGTCCCAGAATTGGGTGAAGGGGGTATTTTGTCAGAGGGAGCACCATCGATTCCTACGCATTTCACCTACCCATTCATCTGTTTTTTTTTAAATCTTTTGCGTGCTGGCCAAGAAATGTCAAGCGGTGTTTTTGGTCGGTTTCTTCGGCAAAAACGAGGACTTGAGGAAATGTCCCAATGGTGTCGACGATGAACCACCCTTCTGCAACCTTCTAATAGTCGCAGAGTCACAAAGCAGGAGGGGTCCTTCTGTTGAGCTCGACGATTGCAAGCGTGGACCCACGGACATCTACCTCCGGCTGGATCCTCCGCGGAAGGTCCTGGGCTTCGAGTACTGGGACAACGATCACGTCCCGAGCCACTTTTTCTCAAGATCCTTTTTCGCGTGGCGCAACGTCGGAACGACCAGTTGCTAGGCGAGTTGAACAGGCTGCCAATTGCAGATTTTTGGAAACCCTAAAACCAACAGATGACAATATAGATCATTATAGATCCTATTGTTGATTTTTCCATTATCATCATTAATTATCACCTAACATTTTGAACTTTATACCCCAATATTGGGGGCCCGGCTGTCGCACAAAGGCTGGGACTACTGGGGTGTCGATCAGACAGCCGGATGGGTCCAGATACCCGAAACAAATGATGGAGAAGGCACCGGCTTCGTGAACATCGCGGATCATTTCATAAAACCAGACACTGTGGACAAGATTCAGATCGTTTTCTCCGGCCCTGGTGATCATAGTAATGGTGATGGTGGTGCGCTGAGATCCCTCAGGCACGTGCTTTCTGGGGGAGAGTCTCGTTGCGGATTTTGCATGAACGAAACAGAAGAGGGAACTGAGGGAACTCAACAATCGGGGTGTAGAAAGGAACACATACCGAAGATGAAAGCCAATGTATCCAACAATTTACCATCCAACATCGAGCGATCTCAGTATGTACAATGTACATCAATGTACAATGTACAATTGTGTATGTTGACATGTAACATGTATCATGTATCCATATACTGTACACATCTGTAGATTTGTCTGCATACACAATATGATTTTGATGAGTTCTACCAGCTCAGGGTCTGCAATTCAGACACCACATCGAGCACGACCGCGGCGACCACATCGACGACCCAGGTGAGGGGAGTGAATAGGAGCGGTGACGCTATCTTCGGGCAGAGTATGCCCATGTATCCCCAACAAAATGTTAGGTGAGGCGATTTATGGCGATTTGGCACACACATGCAACTTTTATTTGCTGTCGTTCGGGCTGATTCCGGAATAGAAGTTCCATGTTGGGCTAGACATCCACAAGTTTGACCTCAGAGTTAAAACTAGGGTCACAATTTAGGAGATTTAAGCCGAAATCCTAAGCTTAGCTGTGGGAGTAGCAATCAGCTTCTGTTTTGCCTACGGAGGGCCACAAAGAGGAGATACGATGGCATAGCCAGAGGAAATTGAGAAGCAATCTTCCGAGTTATGGACAAAGTGAACAAGAAAATAACATCATGCACCCATCCCATATCAAATCTAGCAGTACAACTCAATACACATCATACCAGGGTTCCCGTGGTTCGCATCGATTCGCATCGGTTCGAAAATAACTTTATGAACCGCGAAGTGGTTCGTTCCGGTTCGGTTCCGTTGCGGTTCGTGTCGAGACCGGTTCATGGATTCATTCGGTTCCATTCGGTTCGGTTCTTGTCGGGAATTGACTGCGTTATTGCTTTTTATAAAGGAAGTGTATGCGGTAATGTTTATAGCAGCATTCAAACTATATCCGTTGGTGTTCGTAACTTTCTGAAAGCAACATTGGCCCTCAAAATTGCTTAGACGGGGTTGTCGGAAAATTAGTATTGCCGAACAGCTTTGGCCTCGAAAATCTCTGTTGCAATGGAAAGATTTAGCAAACACTGTAATCCCCCATACCCATGTAGTATACTCAACAGTACGATCCCGTAACCCCTCTAGAAGCACTTTTGGGGTGAAACATTGCTTTCCGGGGGTTACGGAAAATGAGTACAGCTGAACAGCTTTGGCTTCGAAATTCTCTCTTGTAACAACCACGGCTGCGGTGGTGTCTCGGTTTTTGGTGGTGCCGGTGGTCGGTGGTTTCTCGATGGTGCCATGTTGTGCCTTGCAGATATCATACCGGAGTCTTGCTGTGATGATTGTGATGTCCCGGTTGTATTGTTGGCATTTAGATGCATTTAGCAGGAGTTGATATATGAAAAGAGACCTGAAACCTAGGCTTGTATGCTGGGTTAATTCTTGTCATTATGCAGAATCCTAGCCACAAGATCAAAACAGAAAAAAAACAAAACGGAATAGGAAACCAAAAACAATCAATTTGGCACCCCTTTAATTTTGCCCCGCGGGAAGGATACCCGGGCAAGACAATCCGAAAACAACAAAAGTGTAGTCAATGGAACAAAACATGTTTGTTTTGTTTTGTTCCTGGAGCTCACGAAACCCAACAAAATCCAAAGCATTTCTGCTGAAAGATGTTTAGTTGTTTGTTTTCATTTGTTTGATGCAACATCATAAGGTTTTTGATACGTGAGCACACCTATCCCTTACACCCCTTTCTGATACAGCACCATAGACGAGTAGTAAGGAATCCACTTCTACCATGACCATGGTGGTAGATTACTGTCAGACGTGGCCGGTCCGAGACATTTTATTGATTATTTTACATTGCTACCCCCGCCAGATGCCAAGAAAAAAGACACTTTTATACTGGGGTTTGTAGTGTTTGCTCTTACGTTGCGAAATGACACTTGCACAAACGTTGAGAAAGTGCATTATTCCCTTCAAGAAAGGGTAGTGTTACTTCAAGCGATGTTATCGATATGTGTGTCGAACAGAGTGCAGCATTCCTTGAAGCATAGTCCTTATCATGCAACATTATATATATATATGTTTTTTTTAAAAAATATTGTTCATATTATTATATTGTTAGAGGCACAGATTTGCAAGATGGGAGTGGGATGAACAATGAAGCGTGTTAGAATTCCGCGTAGGTTTCCACAACCACGAGCAGACCCGGTGATGCGGGCACTACGACTACACAGGGCCCCGCAACTTGTAAGCACATGGTTCCAGCTGAGATGACTCGGACCCGAAAAATGAGCTTTCATAATCTCCAAATAGTCCACCGATAAATTTTAGCTGATTTTAGTGATTTGAACTCGGGCGAGAATCGGCATGATTCAGGCGAGAATCTGCGGTAATCGGGCGAGAATAGCCGTGATAGGAATTTATTTGGGAACACGTTATTTTTATGTATTTGTTTATTCATCAAACGCTTCTAGACTGTATTCTGGGCACCTCCAAACGCATTTCAACATGGTGTTGATTTGCAACGTTTATTAACTATTGCAGCGACCATACTTTTCCTTCTTGTTTCGAACAGTTTGATGGTATAGAAATGTATAGAAGGTTCGCACACATTTCCTGATAATTTCAGGCATGGAGATCATTCCGCATTCGTACTCTGCAATGGCTCAGGTCCAGTGCCCCTTTGACCCATCCTCATTCCAAGACTTCAACTTCTATCCAGGTGTGGGAAGGTGCGCCCTTAGGGTCCCGGAGTCTGTCAAATTGGGGGTTGTGGCCAGTGATGCCCAGTGCCTGTGCTCGCCTGTTGGCCAGGAAACTGTCAATTGGCGAGGAAATTGTGATGGGCAAAGGTATTTACTTGGATTCTTGGCATCCTTTTTGGGTCTTGGCGGCCATATTGCAAAACAAACTGATTCAACTGCAATCATGCAGCTGTGGAAATCGCAGTTGCTAAACCCTGTTCAAGATCTATGTGCGCATGGCGCAACTTCATTAGTCATTCTTTCTCAAGTCTTTTCCCGATCCATTGCTGTATCCACAGGGGAACAAGTTGCGCTTAGTTCTGGGGTATGCCCTTACCTTTTCGCACTGGCTTACCCCATCTTACCCCCATTCCTTCATTTTCGCACCTAGGAAACCAAACTTGGAACTTTCAAATTGACATTCTTAATCAAAAAACAATCCTCCAAACTGATCTTTTGCTGTTCATCTGTTCATTGTCCATTTTTCAATGGAATTCTGGTTCCTTATGAGCAAAGACTTCCCGCATTCCACCGGACTCCCAAGCAGTTCCAATGATTTCCAATGTCTTGTCCCGTGGCTCAGGATAGCTTTACGCCTGGGGACGCGTCCTGCGAAGGTGCCGGCATTTGGACCAGACAGACAAACCGAGATGATGACGACTCTCGGCTGAGCTGAACTGCTGCCGCCTGGCCAGGATCCATAGTGGCCATAGTGGCCATAGTGGCAAGCGGGTGAAACATGATGAAGCAGCATGAAGCAGCTTCAGTTGGAAACGTTTTTTTGTGGGCGAATCAGCTTCCATTGTATTCCATTGTCACCATTACCATTTTGATCCATTTTGGCAATTAACACTTATTTTGACAAGACCACCGATTTGGGGCGTCCTAGACACAACTCCCAGAGTTTCAACACAACCCTCAGGCATCCTCAGGTTGTTTCTGCATCTCAAAATGAATCCCCCAGATGGGCGAGATGTGCCCCGTAGTTCGAGTGCCAGGATTTGCTGGGCTGCACAGACAATACCATTCCGGGTGGTGGCTGCAACTTGCTGGTGGTTGTGGAAGACCAAAGCCTGCTGACTGACACCGACAACATCAAGATCGATGATTGCGGGGCAGGTGCTTCTTCCGTGTATTTGTGACTCTGAGTGTTCTGGAAAATATTGGATTATGATTGGATTATGATTGGATTATGTATCCCTCTTGCAACTTCCTCTGAAACATGCAGTCACCCGTGTTGTCCCCATTTTTTCTTGGAGGAGGACATGAGCAACGTTTTTTTTTCCAGATGATGGAATTTAGATTTAGATTGAGGAATATTGAGGAAGAACTCACATCATTCATGCGTAGGCTTCCGCCTTCCTTTCACAAGTCACCCCACGAATCGTCATCTTCCAATTCTTTCTATTCCTCTTCTGAACCAGAATTGTGACCACATCACGTCAAGTAAAGAGATCGTTGCAGCAACTTTCGCGGAGGCAACCACGTACAGTAGGCACTTCTTGAAAGGTAACCCTCGCGACTCGCGTAGGTAGTTTTGCATGGGAGGAGTGGTTTGCGTAGGCCCCGCGTAGGTGTCCTAATTTGTGTATCGCAGTTTAGCAAGGAGAAAAAAAGCAACTCAAATGGCGATTTTTCCCCACCTGCCAGGTGGGGTCTCTAGATTTTAGCAAAGGAGCAACTCCTCAGCTCCCTCCGCGGCCTCCTTCTCCGTCACTCTTCCTCGCTTCCTCCTTCTGTCAGCTCGTCGCCATTGTGGGCACCAACCGACCCAGATCTCACAGCAAGTGCCAGTTTAAGTGGAATATGATGGACTAATATGGAATATGTGTTTAGGTAGTACAGTGCCAGTATGTAGGTATAGCATTTGATGCCCGCGGCTTCCCGTGGGATGGATGGTGGGTAAAAAAGGATCCCTGTTTGAATTTCCACTATAAAAAGGGTGAACTTGTGCTTGCCTTAAAACGGTTGGCATAGGGGTGTTTAAATATAGAAAAGTGTTCTCGTGCTCGGCTTTTTATAGGGGATCCCTGTGAAACAATTCTATAGTGAGCATACGCCACCTATATAAGAGTTATGCCAACAATTCTATAGGGTGCCTACCCACCTATATGAGGGTTGTGCTAACAATTCTATAGGCTCTACATTTTATAGCGGAAGTATTACAGAAAAAAGCTGGTTGTTGTGCTACTGCATTTTGTACTGCCTGTCCTGTTATCCTATGGGAGTACTTGTGTTCCACCTGTGCTCGGATGTTGAAATTATGTTGGCTATTTTAACATAGTCGTGCACCTCGTTTTAAAGCGGTATGCTTGAGGGCTTATAGCTACAGATTGTCTGGCACATCTTCACCCCCAGAAAGCACAGGGGTATAAAAAAGGTATATATCATGTAGGTACTGTATAGGCAGCAAGTGGCTAGCACGTATGCCTAGCATATGAGATCTTGACAGTAGCTAATCCCTTCCTCCTATTACTAAACCCCGCCCTAATACTAAAAACAAGTGTCCATCTCTAATTTTTGAAAATTTCAGATTGGCCAATTTGACTTTTAATTGATCCCCTTTAGAATCTTTAGAAAACAATTTAAAAATCAACCTACCATTTGTAAGTTTTCGCCCCTAATACTAAAAACTATAGTCAACCCCGGGGTGTTTATTATTAGGGGGGAGCTCCGAAATCCAATTTTTGGCAATATTTTAATTGCGTTATATAAGGAAATTTAATTGATTTTGAAATCGGAAAAACTAGTTTTTATTATTAAGGGTTTTAATTTAGTATTGGGGGGAAGCTCCAAAATCCAATTTTTGGCAATATTTTAAATGCGTTATATAATTAAGGAAATTTAATTGATTTTGAAATCGGAAAAAATAGTTTTTATTATTAAGGGTTTTAATTTAGTATTAGGGGGAAGCTTCGAAATCCAATTTTTGGCAATATTTTAATTGCGTTATATAAAGATTTTGCTTTGCATTCAAGGGTCCAAAAAGACCCAAGGGTCCAAACTGGGTCCAGCTGATGAATCTCGCGCAAGCCTCGCTCATGTCCTTTTTCTCGCTCACACCCAAAATCATCCAAGTAAGGATTTGTCAGGACAAACAAATCAGTGACAAAAGGTCTGCTCAATTATGGGGCATGTTACAATTTGAATTCTCTTTTTTGATCTGTCCTGATCACATTTGCCTGCTTAAATGTATGCAAAATGCAAAATTCGTGGCATCGTCATGTTGCTACTCGAGCTTGGATGCTTTCTGCATCACTGGCCGGGCTGCTCAGCTTCAGCTCGGACACGCTCGGATGTTTTTGCTCCGTGCCCTGGACCTGGACCTGGACGGCCTGTCACGGAGAAACCGCCCGGCTTGCGACAACGGGGAGGGCACGGAGCTGGGGAGCCATGGCTGGCCAGGGGTAACACAACGGGAGAAGAAGAACGGGAAAGTGATGCAAAATGAGAAATGTCACTTTTATAGTTTGTAAACTAGAAAAAGTTGCTTTTGTAACATATTGAAATTGTAAAACTATGCATATTTGCTGAATACTTTGATATTTTTTGAAAAGTAATTTCTATCCATATTTTTTGTCCACAACCAATCTTAAAACATTCACTGGTTCATTTTCAAGGTATTGGAATGAAATTTAAAAGTTTTTTATTTTCAAAATATTTTTTGTCAAAATATGTTCAAAAAATTAATTTCTATCCTTAAATTATGTCCAAAATCAGGTTTAAAACATTCAGTGGATCATGCTCAAGGTATTGGAATGAAATTTAAAATATGTTTTTTCGACTTTTTTTTGGTCGAAATTTGGTTCAAAAATGACATTTCTATCAAAAATATGTCGTGTCTAACCTTAAACCCTACATCCGTTAATAATCATAATGCACAATATGCACATAAGCACGCTATTTCCACACAACGGGGTGTTACAACGGGGGAGACACAACGGGAGAAGAACAACGGGGAAAATGATGCAAACTGCGAAATGTCCTTTTGCGAAAAAGCGCCATGCCCAAAAATATGTTTTGCGAAAATCTGGTTTCCCCGAGGATGTATTTGCGAAAATCCTGGATATCCAGGACCGTGGTTTGCGAAAGATCAGGGTCAGATCTTTCTCAAAAGATTTGCAATTGTTAAATTATTTGTTGCTACATGTGCGCATATATTGATAAATGAGGAAAACAACATTTTTTTCGCGAAATGTGGGATTTGAATTTCACTCTCTGAATAGTTTTTTTTTCATGAACAGTTTGCGAAAAAACAACATGTCCAGGATTCTTTTTTGCGAAAATCCTGCTTCCCCAAGAATGTGTTTGCGAAAATCTTGGGGAATCAGGACCTTGGTATGCGAAAGATCTGGGTCAGGTCTTTCTCAAAAGATGTTCCATGTTTGTATGTCATATTAAAATATATACATAATGTATGTATATGTGATGTCGCTATATTATATATGATGACAGGAAATCACCTTCTTTTTGCGAAAAACTTGTTTTCTCAAAAATGCTGGCCACAAGTCGCTCAGATTGATCGCAAAATGGCAGCTGGATAACATCTATGTTGAACCCCTTGTTTGCGAAGAACCAGGGCCTGGTTCTTCTCAAACAACTGCTTGTTCCCTAGCACTGCTTTGCGCAAGCCTCTGGTTTGCTTAAAACACCCCAGGTATCAGCAGCCTGTTTGAGAAGAACCAGGCCCTGGTTCTTCGCAAACAAGGGGTTCAACATAGATGTTATCCAGCTGCCATTTTGCGATTAATCTGACTGACTTGTGGCCGGCATGCTTGAGAAAACCTACTTTTCGCAAAAAAAATGTTGTTTTCCTCATTTATCAATATATGCGCACATGTAGCAACAAATAATTTAACAATTGCAAATCTTTTGAGAAAGATCTGACCCTGATCTTTCGCAAACCACGGTCCTGGATATCCAGGATTTTCGCAAACACATCCTTGGGGAAAACAGATTTTCGCAAAACATATTTTTGGGCATGGCGGTTTTTCGCAAAACATGGGTAAAAAAATCTTTTGAGAAAGATCTGACCCTGATCTTTCGCAAACCACGGTCCTGGATATCCAGGATTTTCGCAAACACATCCTCGGGGAAACCAGATTTTCGCAAAACATATTTTTGGGCATGGCGTTTTTTCGCAAAACATGGGTAAAAAACATCTTTTGAGAAAGATCTGACCCTGATCTTTCGCAAACCACGGTCCTGGATATCCAGGATTTTCGCAAACACATCCTTGGGGAAACCAGATTTTCGCAAAACATATTTTTGGGCATGGCGGTTTTTCGCAAAAGGACATTTCGCAGTTTGCATCATTTTCCCCGTTGTTCTTCTCCCGTTGTGTCTCCCCCGTTGTAACACCCCGTTGTGTGGAAATAGCGTGCTTATGTGCATATTGTGCATTATGATTATTAACGGATGTAGGGTTTAAGGTTAGACACGACATATTTTTGATAGAAATGTCATTTTTGAACCAAATTTCGACCAAAAAAAAGTCGAAAAAAAATATTTTAAATTTCATTCCAATACCTTGAGCATGATCCACTGAATGTTTTAAACCTGATTTTGGACATAATTTAAGGATAGAAATTAGTTTTTTGAACATATTTTGACAAAAAATATTTTGAAAATAAAAAACTTTTAAATTTCATTCCAATACCTTGAAAATGAACCAGTGAATGTTTTAAGATTGGTTGTGGACAAAAAATATGGATAGAAATTACTTTTCAAAAAATATCAAAGTATTCAGCAAATATGCATAATTTTACAATATGTTACAAAAGCAACTTTTTCTAGTTTACAAACTATAAAAGTGACATTTCTCATTTTGCATCACTTTCCCCTTCTTCTTCTCCCGTTGTGTTACCCCTGGCCAGCCATGGCTCCCCAGCTCCGTGCCCTCCCCGTTGTCGCAAGCCGGGCGGTTTCTCCGTGACAGGCCGTCCAGGTCCAGGTCCAGGGCACGGAGCAAAAACATCCGAGCGTGTCCGAGCTGAAGCTGAGCAGCCCGGCCAGTGATGCAGAAAGCATCCAAGCTCGAGTAGCAACATGACGATGCCACGAATTTTGCATTTTGCATACATTTAAGCAGGCAAATGTGATCAGGACAGATCAAAAAAGAGAATTCAAATTGTAACATGCC